GCTAAAATTAATTGAATCACGTCTTGCGAAGCGAAATTTTGTGGGACAGTTTAGTTATTAGCGGTACTAATTGCTAAATAATTTTGTATTAATCAGTGTTGGCAGAGTGTAACGTCTTCGAAGTGGTAAGGAAATTTTTTTGAATAGAATTAGAGAATTTAGAGAAGCAGTAGATTGTGATCTGAGATTAGTGGAACAATATATTGTGATACTAAATAGTTTTATATTAATTAGTGTTCACAGGATAAGTTGTCAGAAAGATAAGGAATTTCTTTTTAATGGAGTTTGTAAATTTAGTGAAACAGTACATTGTGATCTGAGTTTAGTAAAACAGTACATTGTGATCTGAATTTAATAAAAGAGTATGTTGTGATACTAAATCGATTTACGTTAATTAGTGCTGACAGAGTAAGTCAATGAGAAGGTAAGGATTTTTTTTGAATAGAATTAGAGAATTTAGAGAAGCAGTAGATTGTGATCTGAGTTTAGTGGGACAATATATTGTGATACTAAATAGTATCAGGAATTTTTTTCTGATTTAATTAATAAATTTAGTGAAACAGTACATTGTGATCTGAGTTCAGTAAAACAGTACATTGTGATCTGAATTTAATAAAAGAGTATGTTGTGATACTAAATCGATTTACGTTAATTAGTGCTGACAGAGTAAGTCAATGAGAAGGTAAGGATTTTTTTTGAATAGAATTAGAGAATTTAGAGAAGCAGTAGATTGTGATCTGAGTTTAGTGGGACAATATATTGTGATACTAAATAGTATCAGGAATTTTTTTCTGATTTAATTAATAAATTTAGTGAAACAGTACATTGTGATCTGAGTTCAGTAAAACAGTACATTGTGATCTGAATTTAATAAAAGAGTATGTTGTGATACTAAATCGATTTACGTTAATTAGTGCTGACAGAGTAAGTCAATGAGAAGGTAAGGATTTTTTTTGAATAGAATTAGAGAATTTAGAGAAGCAGTAGATTGTGATCTGAGTTTAGTGGGACAATATATTGTGATACTAAATAGTAACAGGAATTTTTTTCTGATTTAATTAATAAATTTAGTGAAACAGTACATTGTGATCCGAATCACTGAATTATCTAACATTAAATAATATTCATAGAGTAACATCTGGGAAAAATAAAGAATGTCCATCACAACAAATATTTTACTGAAACCAAATTTATTTTTATGAAATTTAGCGAAACTAAAATCAGTGAAACAATACATTGTGATCCTGATTACTGAATTATCCATCAATTATCATTGGTGGACTTCCATATGGGAAAAAATAAGGAATGTTTACAACAATCATTACTCCAACGAAACCAAATTCGTTATAATAAATTTCTTAATTCAATGAATTTTGAATTCGTAACGAATAACGAAATTTACTGAAACAGTACATTGTGACAGTTCTATTTATTCACCACCAATTACTATTCACACAGAAATATACTAATCAGAAAAATAAATAAAAAAAATAACGTCCACGAAAAATATAATTTGAATGAAACGAAAAACGAAACAGTCCGTCGCGATACTAATCACTAAACAACGTTGCGTCACTAATTAGCGAACAATGTAACAACAATCGCTACTGATAAATAAATCGTCAAAATATTAATAAAACAACATCTTCGAAGATCTAAGAATTTTTCCTAACCAGCCAGTGTCCACTGGCCTAATCGTTCCAACGAAGCAAAACATCCGCGATCGAAATTCATCGAACACAATTCGCGAACTCGCGCGACACCGATTCCCCAATTCGCGCGCACCGTCGCCAACGCATACTCACCAATACCACTGCACCCACGACCATAACTCCGATAGCGAATTTCCTGGTGATGAGGCCGTACCGGCTCCTGGTCTCTCGATCGCTGTGATCAGAATAAAGTCCGAGCTGTGATATACTGATCGCGGTCCTCCGTTCGGTCTCAAGCATGTCCTCTCGCTGGCTGGAATCCTCCGTGACCATTCATTGGCGACGTCCAAGCGACCCTAACTCTTGAACCCTGCGCTTCGCGAGCTACTTGCGAGCAGATCGCTCTGCGATCGGCATCAAAAAAGCCACCGAAAGGCCCGGAGAGCTGACTTTGATCAAAGAGCGACGCCCGTCAAGATGCTGATTTCCGCGGGAAATTCGTCAGAGAGACCGCGCTGCACCCGATCCGATCATCGTCGAGGACTCTCAGCGTCGATCGATCCGTCACTTCGCGCGAGACGATCGCTTCGCGGCCTCGGAATATCTCGGAAAAGAACGCCGCTCGGTGTTCCACCGAAGCGCCATACGCGACTAACGAGCTCTCATTTCGCGCCGCGGAGTTTTCACTGGCGATTCTATCGCGTAGAAAATTTCTTCGCACGTGGGGATGAGGCTCGTTATGCCAGCAGCCTGATGGGCTACTTGCCACGCCATGGGGATCGGGGCTGCGAGGTGAATGTCAATGCCATCGGCGGATCGCGCCGTCCCTTTGTCGCGCTGGGTGCCCCCCTAAATGACTTGTCCTGTTAACGAACGCGCAGCTGGAACCTTGGCATGATTGCTCAGAAATCACTGCTCGATACCCTGTGCGACGTCGGCGAGAGCGAGTCGAGTTATCGCCGAATTCGGCGCACGATTTTCGCACGCGCCGATTGCCGGAGCTTCGTCTAAAAGAGCACCGAGACACGCATCGAACGTGTCACGAGCAACAAATTCTAACGAACGGATGTTAATACTAAATTTACGGAATCCGTTAATATGACGGTTCATTAATTTTTTAATTTTTTAATTTACGATTACTCGTAAATATATGTTGCTCACTTAATAAATGTTACAATAACGCTTGCTAAAAATCAGGATAAATGTCTTATTGTTGCTTTTATAAACTAATACGAAACAGCTGTTTTTTAATATGAAACAGCTCCGTAAATCTAGTGTCAATACTGCAGCGAATCCGTCGCGGTAACGGCGTCGCGTACTTTCGTACGCGCGGCTGAAAACGACGCGTCGTCCGTGAGTGCTGTTTCATGTAAAATCGCGTTTCACAATCGTTAATATTCATGAGCGAGCTCTCGCAGGCGGAAAGGTGACTCTAGAGGCCCCGTGGCGGGTCAGGTGCGGGCCTCTTCGGGCCCGTCAGGTGCGCGGCGACTTCGGCACTTGAGCGTGCGATGGGTGCTCTTTCTCTTGGGTGCTCTTCTCGTCGAGCACTGGGCGCAGAAGATCGAGATGGGCGCGACGAAATTGAGCGTAGCATTCGCGTGGGAGAAACGTGAAAAACTTTCACCGTCTAGCTGCCAAAATAACCGAGGATTCGGCGGAAAAAGGGAGGGGAGAGCGTTTCGTCTGGGGCCCATTTGAGGACTCATCAGTGAGATTATTTTAGCGGACCCTTGCCTTGGGATGTCTGAAGGACGGATGAGGTTTGTGTACAGGGCGTCTCTAAAATGTCTCACAATACTAAAATGGAGGATAAATGAGATCATTTGAAACAACTTTTTCCTTCGCGAAGATGTTCTACGAGGCTTCGTTTACGAGTTATCAGCGAAAAAGCACTGGCCAATGAGAGACGAGCGCGGCTGGCGCCAGGCGGAGGAGCCAAAGAGCGGAGCCGGGCGTCGACCGCTGGTTGGCGAGGCCGCATCGCGTCAGTTGCGCTCGACTCTCATTGATCACTGTTTTTCGTTAATAACTCGTGAACGAAGGCTCGTAGAACATTTTCGCAAAAGAAAAAGTTGTTTCAAATGTCCTAGTGATAACAAAATTATGGAACATGATGTATACAAACAGAGGCAGATCGGTTACTTGCGGAAAAGAAGAATTCATCTACTGGCGAGTCAACATGTGACATCGTTCGAAGCAGCGAGAAATGCAGGGTGTCACAAAAATGTCTCACAATCGGGAAGTGGAGCTTCCTGATGTCATTTGAAGCACCTTTTTCCTTTGCGAAAATGCGATCCGCGGCTTCGTTTACGATGTATTGACGAAAAACATACGGCGCCACGCCCCTGCTCGTCCACGCTCCGCCCTCGCTCTCTCATTGGTCACAGTTTTTCGTTAATAACTTCGTAGTACTAAAATAATTTCGTAAACGAAGCCTCGTAGAACATTTCCGCAAAGGAAAAAGTTTCTTGAAATGACCTCAGGAAGCCCCCTCTTCCGGATTGCGGTACATTTTCGGGACACCCCGTAGAAATCTCCCTTCCAACTTCAGCGTGCACCAGCGGGTACAACGATATACAACGATTACCATTTCATAGAAACTTTATTGACCGGCCGGTTACATGCTCGACACGAACCGAATCGGAACGTTCCGGTTACGCGTGGAAGACGGTTCACGGTGGTGGCTTGCCAAGATACTTTTTATTCGGCTTTCACAAACGTTACAGCGGCTGGGTCCTCGACAAATAACCTTGACACGCCGTACGACATAAATCCGTCCCTAGTGATCACAGCGATCTATGATCGACGTGGCGCGATCTATGCTGCACCGTGACGCCTCGTCTCCCGTTGGCGCCACCATAAATAGCTCTTACTTTACAACGCGGGGTTCGTACGTAAAAAAAACGAGATTACAAAAGAATGACACGCAGTTCGCTGGGACCGCCCGCGACGGCGGCCCATCATCGGACAAACGGCGGCAGTTCGAGCGGATTCTCCGGCACCTCGTAGAAGTAGCCGAGCGGCCGCTTCGTGGTGGGCGGGAGCGTAGGCGGCGGCGCCGGGCTGCCGGTCGGCGGAGGCGTGTACTCGGTCGATGTGGGCGTCAGCGTGTAGATGGGCGTGGGCGGAGGGGGCGGAGTCACGGTGACGCGCGGAGGCGTCGGGCTCGAGGGAGGGAGGTACGGCTCCGGTCGGGTGCTCGGTCGTTCGCTGTTCGGCGGCAGGTACGACGACGGCCCCGTGGGACCGTGGGTCGTGGGCCTTGGACTCGGGTAGGTGACCCTTGACGTGGTGTAAGTGGTTCTGGGCGTGGTGTAGATGTCTCTAGGCGTGGTGTAGGTGGTCCTAGGCGTGGTGTAAATATCCCTAGGCGTGGTGTAGGTGGTCCTAGGCGTGGTGTAGATATCCCTAGGCGTAGTGTAGATATCCCTAGGCGTGGTATATGTGGTCCTAGGCGTGGTGTAGATATCCCTAGGCGTGGTGAAGGTAGTCCTAGGCGTGGTGTAGGTAGGCCTAGGCGTGGTGTTGTACGTAATGCTATGATCAGGTGGTAGATAGCTGGAAGGTCCCCTCGTTGGAACGTGAGAGGTCGTGTAGGAGGGCCTGGTAGTATAGTCATAGTATGTCGTAGGTCTAGAAGTCGTGGGTCCATAAGTCGGCCTCGTTGTGGGTCCATAAGTAGGCCCCGTGGTGGGTCCATAAGTATGCCTGGTCGTAGGCCCATAAGTGGGCCCCGTGGTGGGTCCATAGGTCGGCCTCGTCGTAGGTCCATAAGTAGGTCCCGTCGTGGGCCCATAAGTGGGCCTCGTCGTGGGTCCGTAAGTGAACCTCTGCGTGGTCACGTCGGGCCTCGTTGGAAGGGTCCCATAAGACGGTCTTGTCGTAGGCTGCGTTCGGTCCGGCGGCAGGTAGGTGTTGGGTTGTGTTGGTGGTCGTGGGGGCCTGGTTGGCGGGGTCCTGGGNGCTGCGTTCGGTCCGGCGGCAGGTAGGTGTTGGGTTGTGTTGGTGGTCGTGGGGGCCTGGTTGGCGGGGTCCTGGGCGTCTGGGGCGGTGGTGGAGGGGGAGGTCTGGTAGGCGGCTGCGGCGGGAAGGGTGGGAGATAAGGTGTCGACGGTGTTGGAGGCTGCGGGCGGGGAGGAGGTCTGGTGGGTGGCTGTGGAGGTTGCGGAG